CATAAGTATTTCAAATAACCATAAGTATTTTGAATATTTCAAATAGTCATAAAATATTTCAAATAACTAAAATATTGTAAATGTTTCAACTAAAATTTATTATTTAATTGACAAAATTTGATTATTATTTTTTTAAAAAAATATAACCCCTAAACAATCAAAATTCAACATTTAAAACCAACCACCAACAAAAACACCTTGAATGAAAATAATCTTCAAACAGACACTTCCTCTAAATGCTCTAAAACATTACCTTTTGATTTCCCAAAAAAACTAATCATGATATAAATTTCATGTTTCTTTTCAAAAACATCATTTTTCCAACACGGTCTGGTTTCAAATTAGTCCTTTTTGATGTTATACAATTCCCAACATCACTGAACAACCGTTCTGATGGAGTTGAGGTAGCAGGAACACAAAAATATTTTTTTGCCAACAATGATAATGTTGGAAAACTTTTTTCATTATCTTTCCACCAATCTAATGGATTTATATCATTTTTAACTTTAGTAGCCAAGTAACATGTTATTTCATCATTATTATCATCATTTTCATCATCTGCTGGTAATATTTGACTAAAAACTTTTATTGTAGTGTCATTTGAGCCAGTGACAATTGATGATCCGAATGCATCATTGTTTCTCAAATCAATTAATGATTCAGAATCTTCACAAGCTTCATTTTGCAAATTATTAATACACGATATTTCATGCTCCTCCTTTAAATTAAATATAGTGGTTTTTACATCTTTTTCTTCAAAAATAGATAGTTTTTTAAGCCTCGGATCAAGTATTGTGGCAACCATTGACAAATCAGAAGGTGCATCCCAATATTTTTTTAAATAAATCAACAATGCTTCTATAATAAGATCCTTTAATCCATCTGTTTCTATAGAACTAGAAATGTTTATTTTTTTTTTGGTATTTGAGTCAAGAATTAATATTTCATCAGCCTCTTCATCTTCTAAAATGTCTTGAATATTAAATACATCCTCTTGTTCATCCAATTGCAATTGTTCACTACTATCTTCAAATTCATTATCTATTGAGAGATGGGATGATTCTGGTAACATTTCTTGGAGTTTTTTAATTAGTGTATATATTGATGGATAAATTAAGGAAAAGGTAATGTATGTGGCCCCACTTAATTTTCTAGTAATTTCTTCAAAATCTTTCAAAACAACTACCAGATCATTCATCAAAATCCATTCTGATTCACTCAACAAAATTCTTTCCAATTTATTTGCTTCTTTCCTTACTTCTTTATTTTGATCTGACTGATATCTGCTAGGTAAATGAGTTATTGCATCTTTGAGAAGGATCAATCGTTGCCACGAATAATAGGCAGAGTTCCACCTAGTACAGACATCATTGATTATTTTATAAATTTTTGGGTAATTCAAATTTTCTTGTTCTTTTTCTAATATCTCACATCGTTTAGGAGATGAAAAAAATTTGGTTAACCTTTTGACTCTTAAAATGAATTTTTGGATAGCTGTATTAATTTTCAATGATTTCCTAACTACTAGATTCAAGGTGTGTGCATTGCATGAAACACGCTTGAGATCAAAAAAATCTCTTTGTAAAAGCCTGACTGCTTTAATAAAATTGGAACCACTGTCTGTGGTTATACAGACAATCTTTTCTTCTAACTTCCACGAAAAAATTATCTCTCGTAATTTTTGACAAATAACTTCGGATGTATGTGGATATGGGATGTGAACCAATGACAACAAAGCTTCCTGTGGTTGATATTCATTAGAAATCCAATGACAAGTTACTCCCAAATATCCATGTTTGCCACAAGAAGTCCAAAAATCACTTGTCAGCGATATATATTTGGATTCTCTCTCAATTATTTCAATTAATAAATTTTGAATATTTTGATAATTATACTCTAACATCTCATCAATTTTTTCTTGAGTAGGTAGATTGTAGCTAGGATTTAATGATTGAACAAAGCTTTGAAAACTATTACTTTTAAGTATATAAAAAGGTTGCACATCGTCTATAATAAATTCTAATAATTTTTTATTGATATTATCTTTTTCTTTTTTTGCAATAGTTTTTTGCTTTGAAAAATCACGAATATCTGTTTGTTTTTTTAATTCTAACTATAAATTTTGAATATAATTAATTATAAATATTGAATATGCTAATTTAAATTATTTAATTACAAAATAATTTTACCTTTTCTTTCTCATTTGGTTGAAGAATGCCATGTGCATGTAATAAGTGGGAGATACAATTACTAGTTGAATTATTATTTTTTATTTTTTTATTGCATAACCCATCTGGATTTTCAGAAGATACATTCACCTTTATCTTACAGATTCTATAATCACCATGATCCTCAATATAACTCCAAACAAAGCTATCCTTTGGTCTACCTTTACTTACTTCAAATTTTCTTTTTTTATTTGAAGAAGTATTAGCTGAATTATCATCACCGTCATCAATTGTTATTGTACTGTTACTAGTTGCCATTTGTCAAGAAAGATTTCAAATTGAAAGAATGAAAATTTAAATGATATATATTCATGTGAATAATTTTATTGCAAGGTGCTACAAAATATTTCAAATGGTAATTTCAAATTAAATATTCTGACAATAGTAATTGAATAATCACAAGTATTTTGAATAATCACAAGTATTTCAAATAGCCATAAGTATTTCAAATAGTTGTAAATATTTCAAATAGTCATAAGTATTTCAAATAATCATAAGTATTTTGAATAGTCATAAGTATTTCAAATAATCATAAGTATTTTGAATAGTCATAAGTCTTTCGAATAACCATAAGTATTTCAAATAGTTGTAAATGTTTCAAATAGTCATAAGTATTTCAAATAGTCATAAGTGTTTTGAATAGTCATAAGTATTTCAAATAACCATAAGTATTTTGAATATTTCAAATAGTCATAAAATATTTCAAATAACTAAAATATTGTAAATGTTTCAACTAAAATTTATTATTTAATTGACAAAATTTGATTATTATTTTTTTAAAAAAATATAACCCCTAAACAATCAAAATTCAACATTTAAAACCAACCACCAACAAAAACACCTTGAATGAAAATAATCTTCAAACAGACACTTCCTCTAAATGCTCTAAAACATTACCTTTTGATTTCCCAAAAAAACTAATCATGATATAAATTTCATGTTTCTTTTCAAAAACATCATTTTTCCAACACGGTCTGGTTTCAAATTAGTCCTTTTTGATGTTATACAATTCCCAACATCACTGAACAACCGTTCTGATGGAGTTGAGGTAGCAGGAACACAAAAATATTTTTTTGCCAACAATGATAATGTTGGAAAACTTTTTTCATTATCTCACCACCAATCTAATGGATTTATATCATTTTTAACTTTGGTAGCAAAGTAACATGTTATTTCATCACTGCTATCATCGTTTTCATCATCTGCTGGTAATATTTGACTAAAAATTGATGATCCAATACATCATTATTTCTGTTCCTCAAATCAATTAATTATTCAGAATCTTCAAATCCACAACATAAAATTTTATCTGTTAAAAATTGATCATACATTTTATAATTTTTAAAGTCAAATTTATTTTTAATTTTTTCATAATAAAAATTTTGCAAAATAAAAAATTTGTTATTAATAAAAAACTTTCTCGAGAATCAGAACTTTGAAATGATGTAAAGAGCACAAATATTTATTTAATATAATTTTGAGAAAATCTCAAAATAATTTTTGGGTAAATACAAACTTTGTCCATTGAGTGTATATATATATATATATGTGAATTATTGAGAAAATAAATTTGAATTTTCTTATATCTATAGTAAATAGTTAGTTGTTAAATAAACAAAAAAATTATGATTTTAACAAATAGAGTTATTAATAAATGAATATATATATATATATAATTTTTCTTACAGCTTATTATTGACAATTTGTTGCAAATAGTTTTGTGATCCTTTATTTTATCTCATTTAATATGTTTCATCTGATATGTTTTTCACATTTTTTCCACTAATATCTTTTTTAAAATAGAGCTGCAGTATTCTGCCTTTCTTAAGGACATTCACTGCAGCTATTACTATTTTTGGTTTTATCATCTTAAACATTATTGAAGTAAAAAAGTGAAAAGTGAACCTAAAACTATACTTAAAATGAAATTTTCTTCGATTAATAACTTCTTATATCTTGTAAACTTCGCAGTGATCCTAGGTGATCCTCAGAGTATATATTCGGAGGAATTTATTTCAACCATTACAGAGTATTTTAAAATAAAATAAAAATTTTAACATGCATGGAAGTATCACGTTAACTCGTTTGTAACATATATGAATTGATCAACATGGAGGCTCTAATTTTTTCCCAAATTTGGAAAAAATCCTGACTGTATTACCAAGAAATTCAGGGTTCAAAATTTAATAATGTATATATATTAATATACCTGTATATGATATTAAATGGTCAAACCTTGCCATAACGGACCACGCCACAGTGGATTTCTTGTTACAATGGATTTTTTTGGCTGGCACCATGAATATGCTATGGTGAAGTTTGACTGTATGTATAAAAAATATATACTAATACACCAATACATGTTATTCAGTGCATATTACATGTGAATTACCCACATTTGTGCAGGGCATACATACATTATATGTTTCCATTTCCCTGATAAAATGCACAATTTTGTACAAAATTATGGATTGGATTAAATGGATTGAATAATTGAAAAGAAAACTTGCCATTTTCTTTGATCAATTTCATTGTTTCATATTTTATTATAAAACCAATAATATAAATATAAAAATGAAATCACATCACTATAATAACAACGTTATTTGTTTTAATTAAAAAAGCTTTTGAAGTCAAATGATGTGATTTTTAAATCAACAAATTGAAGATTTTAAAGATTATTAAAGAAAGTTAAAAAGAGCAAACTGTGTTATTATTGTTAATCTTATATTATTGTTGAAACTGATTTGTTTTGTCATCATCAGTTATTAATCAATCATTTATATTTATTCTCTTGTTTGAAATCGGAGTATCATTTTTTGATATAGATCTTTTTTTTGAGATATTAGTGTTTTGATTTTCTTGATCAGCTCCTTTTATCATTGGGCCACCAAATTTCACAGGCTTTTGCTTGTTAATTATTGATATTATATTTGAAATTCTCATCTGTAAGTTTCAAAGATTGAAAATCATTAGCTATAATAAATGTAATAAAATATTTACCTTCATTGTCCATACAGAAGCAATCAACTCCAGTGCTTCTGTAAAATTTTGGAAAGAAACAGGAATACTGTATAATGAACTTTTTACAAGACAGAAAACATACCCAGCAGGATTATCTAAAGTCATAAACATAAGTTGAAGACCCCCATGGATGTAGCCAACAGTTATGAGTTTCCTTCTTTCTTTCATATCAGAAATATGACTGTTTAATAGCAAAAGCATGTCTTTGAGAACCTTTGGCAATTTTAAATCTGCTTCAAAGAGCCATTTTGTAGATTTCTTTCCTTCATAGTTCTTTGCTACCTCAGAACCACCATATTCTAAAGCAATAGAAGATTTGCCATAGAATGTTATTATGATAGAATCAACGTCGACATTATTATTATTATTTACATTAATTTCTAATTTGGTTGATTCTGCAATTCTCGCAACAGAATCAGCTGGATCAGTCAAAATAAAAGAAGAATTCACTCTTGATACTTTATAAAGTTGTATTCCATTACATCCATTTTGATAAATAATCGAATCACGTGATACAATTGACCCAAGATTTGCTCTCTTGAAAATCTCTTGATTAAAATAATAGTTTATCTGTTTAAATCGAGTTCCTAACGGCAGCGTTGATGGTGGTGATGATAGTTTAGATAAAATCACTTCTGTTGCAATTGGAATATTGTCTATCTAATAACAAATAATTAAACTTTATTAATTAAAAAAAAGTTTTTTCTAATTATAAATATATATGTTTATAGTCACCTTTTTTTCAAAGATAAAACTAATTGGAAATTTTATATTATCAATTTTATCTTGAACTGAACAAACACCTAAATTACAAGCTAAAGATCTTGAAATAACAATTTCAGTTTCACCCTCTTTTTCCATTATTTTAGAATTTACATCCAATGAAGCAGAAGAAGAAGAACTTATATTCAAATTATTCATCAATTGTGATAAATTATCGATAGTAGAAGTAGAAGTGATCGTTGTCGTGGGCAGATGGAATTTTAATTGATTAGGAAATAAATTATTTGATTTAAATAATTCTGAACGTTTTGAATAAAATTTGACTGATGCATAATGATAACATTTTTTATTTATTGAATTATTGTTGTTAACATTTTTTGGAGAGATCAAAGATATTGATATTATCTGATTTGGTTTGATGAAGTTTTTTAAACACCATGTTCTTGGAAACCAAACACATAATTTTGATGATCTAGTATATTCTGACAAAGTTATTATTAATTTAATTGGTAAGTTTCTAGAGTTAGCATAAAGAAAAAAAATTAATCCCTTTACCTTGCTGTAAATCGTCAATAATTGCCACTACAATCAGCTTTGTCATTACTTTTTTTTTTTGAATCAATTGATAAAAATGATCATCATTTAAAATTCTAAAATTATTACATAATCTATTCGATTTTAGTACCAGTTAAAACCAAAAATTCATTATTATGGGCGTTTATTCTTTCATCGATAATTCTTGCGGTGAAACTGGAGTTTCTGGCACAACGTGCTGAACTATATATCAAAACAGTTAAATTCATACACGTCAATTTATCTATGATTCTAATAATACCAGGACCTTCAAATTCATCTTTGCATCTTGGATCGTTTCTCATATCTTTAAGTATATTCATTGATAAATAATCATCTATCTTGTGTCCTGAATCTAGCAGTTTTTTCACTGCATCACGATGAAAATTTATCAAGTCTCTAAAGGTTGTTGGCCGAGATTCATATCTTGGATACAAAGGGTAGCATGTAGCCAAATAAACACCCTTAGTGTCATATTTATTTTTAAATTTTGTTATTAGTCTGATTAAATCGTTTGCACATGTTGACAAGTTTTCGACCTTAATAGATTCCATACGCCAATGTATTCCAATGTAACTTCTTAATTCTGATTCGACTATTTTTTTCTTACATTATATAGTCTGCGTATAGAACTGGTGGTTTTTGTTCAAGAAATAAATTTACATGAACATTAAGATGGTAGTTAACCATTATTACTTCAGATTTTAAACAAAGAAAATTTTGTATGATTTTGGAAATATTTGTTGCAACAGAATCATGGAATTTTAATGATATAATTTGTTCAAATTTAATCCTGGAAAGCGTAAAAGATATGATAACTCATAGTTGGATCGTTGGATTCAATATAAGTCTGATTACAATATCTGGGACTGATTGCATCAAAATTATCAATTGTTAATTGCAAAATTGTTGAAAGTGACCTTCTCATTTTTTTCATTTCATAATAAAAGGTGATAGTAATAATAGAATAATATAATAACAAAAGAAGATCATAAAAATTATAATTAAGGAATTGGTATTTATGTAAAAGAACAAATAAAGCTCGTAAAGAAGGGAATGAATTTGATAATGTGATATGCTTGCAGTTTAATTGTACATTGTTCCTTTTGGAAGGTTTTTTTATATTTCTAAGAGGGAATAGTCTCATTAGACAATATTGTAACTTAATTTTTTTATAAAGCTGCTCATAATGAAATCTGTCGGTAAATTTATAGGATTGTAGACATTAATAATTAAAAAGTTATGGCATGAAAGATTTATTCTACGATTTTTTAATTATTTCATGCATGCAATAACTAATTTTATGTATTTAAGAGTAAATCTTATACAACCATCCAGTAAAGCCATAATTTCGGCTAATTACTAAATTTTGAAATTTTTAAATTCACGTGCGTGAAATTTAATCAAAGAAAGTGCAATATGCGAATGTAACCAAATTTG